AAGATGCATTGGGGCGGTGGGCCGGGGCGGGAGCCGCTGGGGCTGTGAGCCTACCCAGCAAGGTGCGGGCGGGGCCCCAGTCAGCCAGATGGAGTTGCCAGTAAGTGCCGGGGTTTTTTCTGTTTGTTTGTTTTTTTAACTATGGGGTGGGGGGGCAGGGATGGGGAGGCTTGGGGGATGGGGCTGGCCAGGGCAGGGGACACAGTAGCCGCTAGGGCCAATAAAACTCTGACACACATCAACTGATGCATCTCCAGTAAATCCAAAGAATTGCTTCTGCCACTTCACTCAACATTGTTGCGGCCACAGTTGGAGCACTGCATCCAGTTCTGGGTGCCACACTTCAACAAGGACATGCTAAAGCTTGAGAGGGTCCAGAGAAGGGCCACCTGCATGATCAGGGACTTGCATGGCAAGCCATACGAGGAAAGGTTGAGGGATCTTGGAGTCTTCAGCCTAAAGAAAAGGGCTGAGAGGGGACCTGATTGCGGCTTACCTCTATATCAGAGGTGTGCACCAGGGGCTTGGTGAACAACTTTACCAGGGTGCCCTGGGGGAAAATTAGAAACAACGGCCATGAACTCCTGGAAGATAGTTTCAGCCTGAACATTAGGAAAAACTTCTTCACAACTAGGTTGTCCAGACTCTGGAACAAGCTCCCCCAGAGGTGGTGCAGCCATCTACCCTAGAGGTCTTCAAGAGAAGACTGGGCAGTCACTTGGTTGGGGTCATCTGACCCCAGGTGTCTTTCCTGCTCATGCAGGGGCCTGGACCTGATGAGCCTTTGGTGTCCCTTCCAGCCCTGTGATTCTATGACAACCTTCAGTTGCTAACTGCCACCTACTTCAAATCTAATCTTTGGAAAAAAGTTGGACGAGAGTAGATGCTAAACCTCCCAAGCATCATGCCAGCTGTACATGCCATGATTCCTTTGCAAGCATGGGTATCAAACTCATCTGGCCCTGTGGGCTGACTGAGGAGCACAGGGTTTGTCCACAGGCTGCATCAGGCACACCAATGAGCCCTGCATGCAGGATCCAGCACATGTGGCTAGCCTGCTGCAGGCATTGCATTCATCCCACACCCCAGATCAACCCCATACTCTATGTGCAGTGTGCAGGGACAGTCTGGGCCATGTGGCACGTAGGTCCAGTCTGAGACCCATAGGCTGCACCGTGAGCCCAGTGATAGCGCTTTGTTGCCCGGATCTTTGACACCTTTTCCATATATGATAAAACGAAACAAAAAAAGGCCTGTGCGCTGCTGTTAAGCACCATTTTTCAATGACCATAAATAGCCCCAATGGTCTTCTGGAATGCTGAGCTCAGGCCTCTTTGTTTTGTTATAAAATACATTAATTAAAAAAAAAAAGAATTAACATATCTATTAATGCAGTCTCACTCAGAATGCTTTAACACTAATTCATCCCTTTCTCTTTGAAAAATCCCTTGGTAGGGATTTGTGGGCATACACTGCTGAAGCCTGGCAGGACTACTCACTGATGGCATGAAGCAGCATCAAGGAACTATCTGTTGCATTTCCTTGGGCAGTTCAGCAAGGGAAGAAATCAAAATTGGCACGTATATCTTCCTGCTAATTTAATTTCATGTGCAGTAGGCATTTTGCCAGTTTAGAAATGTCACCAGAAAATACCACTGACTGAAATTACTATGCTGGCAAAAGCTTTCTGGCATATACTGGGCTCCATTGACTTTTTTTTTTTTGTATATGACATTTTTAGTTAAGCTGTTTCAGTGGTAACAAGTGAAAATAACATATGGTGAGCAAATTTCCTAAGCACAGCCAGACAGAATGTTGTGCTTGCAGAAATTGACATTTTGAGGGCTTGATCACCAATACCACAGTATTAAAAATAAATTAACAATATTTTTTAAATGATGTAATGTGAACAGTTGGGCTCAGTGATGCAAATGCAATTTCCAGCATGCTGTTAAGTTGCATCACACAGCGTATGTGTGTGTTAGTCATTCAAATTGTGATTCTGGCTAGAAATCGGACTGTTTCAACACCAGGAAAAAAAATAACAAGGAATGAAAGGTAAAGTAACTGCATGACTGCTCAGCATATGCTTTCAGAATCATTCTCTACATTGATGGTGATTTCTGTTGTGCTCTGCACTAATGATCAAAAAGCTCTCTTCTGTATTATCAGCACAAAAAAAAATCAAAACGTCCAGCTAGATTGAGAATCTTAACCTTTTGTAATATTATTTGTTTTGCAATATCCAGCTATAATGAAGACAACACAGATAGATTTTAGGGCTTCATTTGAAGATCGTATTTAACTTGGTGAGATGGAATTTAGCTTTTACAAAATGAAAGCAGAGGATGGCTGTACAAAAACCATAAGTCTGAACCATTTCAGAGATTCGACTAGGTTCATATATTAGATGTGAATGTCAACATTTTCTTTCTTTGAAATCACAAGTCACTCAGCATTTTAACTCAAAATAGTGTTTTAATTTCCTACATTTAAAAAAAAAAACTGTTAAACACACATGCACACACACAAGCACACATGCAGTTTCTCAATCTCTCTCTCTCCCCCTCCCTCCCTCCCTAGAAGGCTCTTAGGAGTATTAGAGTTTTCCTTTTGTTCTTGCTAATGTATCAAGCTCCAAAAGTAAAATTACTACCACCTGAATTTCCTGGTAATTTAATTCTTACTGCTCTCCCATAGTTCCTGCACTATATGAAGTTAGTTTATTGGCAAAGCTGGAAATGAAAAAGAAGGTCAGTAGCTTTTATTTTCTGGACTATGTGCAAGAAAAAGTAGCACTGTAGATATCAGAATATGTTTAGTCTGACTAAAATGTAAATGTTCAGGTCTAAATTGTGAGACAGAGGCTGTGTCTGCACAAGACGCTTGCTGCACATTTGGTTCTTGGTTATGCAGGTACTAAATGACTGCGCAGTAACAACTGTGCAGTGGGTGGCTCATGTAGATGCACCGACACATTTAAATTAACCAAGCAACCAATCCTAGTTGATGGGTTTCTTGACTTCTTCCATTAATCATGGGTTTTAAAAAAGAATAAAGTGTTACAGCTCCTCTTCTTTTCTTTTTTTTACTTGGCATCATGAAAATTAGCAGTGCATAACTGGAATGGCAGTTATAAAATTTCATTTCTAATGACTACATTAAAGCTTAAAATTGAGATTGAACTATACACTTGTCAAAGGAAACTTTTAAGCATAAAAAAAACTGCACCTGAAATGCCTTGGGTCATTAAGTTAATATCTCTAAGAACCAAAATGTGAATTTCGTCAAGATTATATTTATTGATGTTTCTTCATTTTAAAATACCCAATTCATAATCATTCAAGGACTCTTATACTAAATGCTTATACTTTTAGCAGTAACATTATAGCATCTCTATTGCTCTCCATTTTTAAACGTTGATTTTATAAAACAATTATGATGTTTTTAATGCATGTTTCAATGTAAAAAAAATCAAAGGGAGACTTGAAAGGACTACTTAGTATTGCGTCCAGAAAATGGCTGGCCTTCTAGGCAGATTAAACTCACTGCAGTGCAGAATTAAAGACCTTGTTACACATCCCTTTTAGGCAGATCAGTGAGCTCTTAACCCCGGATTGCCACGTCAAGAGGTACAAACTAGTTTTAAGCACCCTTTAGGCATCTTAAAGTTAAGCCACTCCAGGTCAGGTTTATTTTTGATCTGTATTACCCAGCTTGTGTTCCATTAATGTGTGGCCACTCCCCACAGATAAGGCACCAGGATCCCAGGTTGCAGTGTCCATTTCCTGACCCTCCTGCTCTGTGTGGACAAACTTTCCATCCCACAAACTCAAGTGCCCAGCGGGTGGTACTGTCACTAAACCAACTCTCTTTCCTGCTCCCGGGGATGTGACATGGCCAAGCAGCAAACAGGGACACAGATGAGTCCACGAGAGAGGGCTGGGGCTGGGGGTAAAAGGAGCAAGGTAGGGGGTCAGATTGAGGCCCCAGTGACCTGGGACTTCCCTATTTGTGATCTGAGGCTGCCCAATCACAAATTATTAAAACATAAGACTTCAATTAACTTCCTCTTTAATTCTTTTTAATTTTTTTATCACTTATTTTTCTTTTATCCTTTAGTGATGACTTCCTTCATTTCACCAGCCAGCCCCTAACTGCCTTTCCCACCCACTGCCTCTCTACCTCCTATTTTTACTACCCAGTCCCATTCAAACTTTTCCCTCTTCCAGTCTCATGCTCCTGCCCCTACCAGCCCATCTCTCTAACCCACTCTGATGTGAAGGAGGGAAAGAAGCCTGTCCTGGCTCACCAGCACTCTAGGTTAGGTACAGACAGTCAAAAAGCCAGAGGCTAAATCGATTCAGTCTTTGCAGGTTAGCCTAAACTGCACAGATTAAATTGAAACACAAGTGAACAGACATTTACCTTTGATTCAGGTAATGCAGCCACATGCCTGCAGTGGCTCAAGACAGAAGCCAGGGGGCGGGGGGGCTGCCAGAGCATGGCTCTCTGGCTGCATGTTCACTTCCTTTTCCTGCTGCCCTTGAGGTCTTTGGGATTTGCACTCCAGAATTACTGCAGCACGACTCTGCAGAGTTCCTCATCACTTCCTCTTCCTGCTCACAGATGCCTCTGGGATTTGTAGTCCACAGTCGCAGCCAGCAGTAAGTTTGAGTAGGGGAAAGGGTGTTTAACACCCCTCCATGGCCACAGACCCAGTCAGGGTTTGCCTGGGGGGCATGAATGAGTGGTGCCTCCTGAAACTAAGCAGGGCACCATTTGTAGGTGGCAGCCTTGGCGGTGAGCAGCAACCGCCTGCAGACAGTGGTGGCAGCAGCAGCCAATCTCGGGGGGAGCACATGCCCCCCATATCCCCCTATGAGTTGCCTATGCTGGGGGGGGCAGTCTCCCCTCCCCCCGTAGCCGGGACTGCATCCCCAGCTGGGCTTGCCCTCCCTCCCTCCCTCCCTCCGCAACTTGTCAGCCAGCCAGCTGTCACTGCTCCAGCTAGGGGGCAGAGTAGCGGGGCCAGCCCTGCTCTGGAGCAGACAGCACAGCACAGCTCAGGCCAGAGCTCAAAAGCATGCTGGGGAACTCTGATTTAACTGGGACAGAAGTTTCATAAGCTGGTTTGATCCAAATCAGTTGAGTCTTAAATCTGATACTACATTCAACCAGGTTTATCTTAAACCATTTCAGCCATTTTGTGTGCACTGAGCTTCTGTTTTGTTACAGGTTTAAACCAGTTTCTGATCACTTAAACCGGTTTATGTGTAACTTCTGTCCCTAACCCTAGTGGCAACTCACAGCTGTAGCTCCCAGTCCTGCCCCTGCTCACCAGCTCTCTAGTGGCAAGTCACAGCTGTGCAGGTCAGAGAAGGTTTTTAGCCTGAGCGTGTGACTACTCCAAACTTGAGCTAACACTAACATGGATCAACATTTTTTGAGAAGCTTAAAGTGTAATGTGTAACTAAGCTCTAAGATGCAGTTTTGTTTGCTACTGCAGTAGCTTAAAGGTCAGGCATGGTGAGAGGTGCTGCACACACATAAGTTGAAAACATTTTTTACTACTATTACTTTTCAATTACATACAACCTCAGATCTTTGAAACGAGCAAGGAACATGTGCTTACATACATGTTTGTAATGTGAACACTTATTTAAAGAGCTGGTCAGTTTAATCCTGTTTTTCTGTCCTACCCAAACCAGTAATTTTCAAGTTACATTTTTAATTCAAAGATATCATTTATTTGTTTCACACTTAATTCCAGGCAGACTGTTTTGAAACATCTGGGTTCTTACCATTTACATGCATGAGAGATTGCTTTCCTTTGCTGATTGGAAAGTCCATGATTTCTTAAATGAATGAATGAATGAATGAATGAATAACCATTAGAATGCTTCATATTGCACAGGATTTATTTTTTTTTGCAACTATCTAGGTTTTTTTTTGTGGGGGGGAGGGTTTGTAACTATCTAGTTGGTTTAATAAAAGATATTACCTCTTCCTCAACAGTTGTGGATGCCTTTGCCTCCAGACTAATATGGCTACAAACTATATTTGTAAAATATTTTAACTTCTGTGGATCATGCAGATACACAAAGAGGCAGTTGTATAAGAGTACTATTTCTTAATACAATTTATCTTTGTTTAAGCAGCCCCCAGATGCCTGCTTACTATCACGCAGTGCTTTGCTACTGCATCCAGACAACTGTGAGGTGAATAACAAGTACACAGCAAGTGGTATTTGTACAATAATGATGCAGCTGAAGCATTATTGCATCTATCAGCTATATAAATTTGCAACAGAAGCAAAACTGAAAATCCAGGGTTTGGTAAGAATGGGTTTTAGGACTGAGGTATGAAGACTGCATGACATGCATGTGAAATGTCATTAAAGTTGTCAATAAAGATGCACTCTGCTTGTATAAATGCTTGTACATTTCCATTTGGTTTTATTATGAAATTACATCTACGGTTGTAGGAAAATCTTCAATAGCATATATTCATAATTTATAGGTGGTATCCTCAGTTCGTATGCCCCAAGAAGAGTAATTTAATGTAGTGTGATCTTAACATCTGAGGGCTTAACTAGGCAACCTTAATGCTTTCACTGAGTCTTTATAAACAGGGGTGGGAGACAAATTCAGGGTTTCAGGTTTGTAGTTATTTAGGGCTTAGTCAGTATTCCCTGAGCCATCCTGAATCCTTTAGTCCCACAGCAGGATTTCAAAGGCAAACCAAAGCTGGACTACTTACTGTCTTTTATTTAAATGCAGCTGGTCACAAGTAGATTGAAAAATGAGTTTCCTATAAAATAATTCAGGAAATAATATGGAATAGAAGCAACAAGACTGATAACTCAGGGGTGGGCAGAGCTAGGGCAGAGCACCTGAGGCAGCCACCCCAAGCTCCAATTTGCTGGAGGGGTGGGGTGTGCTGTAAAAAAAAAGCAGCACAATCATGCCAGCAGCAGTAACCAGAAATTGCTGTTGCCCCTGCATGTGGCAGCTGTCCTGGGTGCCAGGTTGTGTCATCATTACACCTCTGATAAACTGAAGGGCACAAACAGAGGAAGAATGAAAGTATTAATACTGACTAAACAGGTTTACTCTCCTTAGCCTTTCTTGATTTTGTGTTCTAGTCTTATGCTTGGCAAGGTGACTTTTGTTCCTGTAGGACTGAGGAATAGAATTCCATATGCCCTCACAAGACCCTGAGTTTCATATCCCCAAATATCCTGTCAAGCTGTGCAGAGATCCAGCATCCCTGGTTTTCACTTGATTATGCCCTGTTGGTTGAAACTCCAGAAGGACTGCATTCTGTTGGTCTACCATGACAACCCCATTATGTCATGCTTAGGCCTGCATCAGTTATGTAGATCTTCATTATAACTATGTTAACTCAATGTTTCAGTTTAGCCTGATCCTAACTGTTGCTGCTGTTAAAACACTTGCACAAATACATTGCACTATATGTCAAGCTAGAGAAATGCAAACATTTTCTTCTAGGCTGCATTTAGGCTGCATCTAGGCTAACATTGGCCCCAAATTGTTAGACGGGAAAGCTTCTGAATGTCAGCTCCCCACAGCTCTTGAAAATGAACAAAGGCTTTCAAACACCTGAGCCAAGTCATGTGGAAACGTGTTATATATAGTGTAACACTGAGCAATGTGCTCAGCCCCAAAGACATGGGGATCATTGCATATACAAAGGATGCTTCCCCCCCAATACGTGTGCGAATGTGCGTACATCAACACACAAATCATTTGCATTGCCATTATGTATTGTCTAACAATGCATTCTGAAGGATTCATTCCCAGGGAAGGCGAGAGATAAAGAACACAATGTACCAAGGACATATTTTTTCTGAAGTCAGTGCTAAACAAGAATTCTCAGAATTTGAGCTCTTACATATGCATCAACTGAGCAGTACAAAAGAAACAACTAAATCATGTGAGCTCTGCTATAGAGATCTCACACAAATCTGTACTGTTCTCAGAGTTCATGGCTAATTCTATTTCTTTTTCTGTTAGCTTGACAAACACTCGATAATTTGACTTCTGTAAATACATCTAAGCTGCTGGTAAAACAATGTACAACATAAAGTTTAAAAGATGGTATTGATGCCTATATAAAGACATTTATTTAAAAGGAAAGTGTGAAATCAGGTAATAGGTAAACTGTAATCAAGAAAAGAACTCTCATAAGGGAAATACTACTTTTGTGTTCAATAGAAGGATATACAGCTATAGCCCTGAGGGTGAGTAGAGTCACGAGTAGATCAGAACAGTTCATGAGATTTTTTGAAGTGCCTAAGTAACTCAGGCATGGAAAGTCCACTGAAAGTAATTCGAGTTTTTACTGCAAAATAACACAGTGACCTTTGACAAACGTATCCATTATCAACCCCAGAATTGTCATGGTGTCTTGTTGTGGCCAGAACTCCTGGGCTATCCCTGTAGTTCTGCCTCTGCTTGGCTGTGATTTATTTATATTTATAATATTTTTAACACAGTGTGCTTTCTGGTATGAACACAGTGGGTGCATCCAGACAAGTGCATATGTGCATGCTGCGATGTCTCAAAGCAGTCTAAGACACTGCAAGAGGCAGTCTGGGAATGGAAATATGTTCTCCGTGCTGCATATTTGCAGTGCGGGCTTTAAATTTGATACCTGGATTTCCAAAAAAACCCAAACAACCCCCCTTGTGAAAAAAGCGGCACAGAACACGTTCCTGCAGCATGCCCTGAGGCAACTGGAGGCTGAGTCCTCCAAAGAGACGCTCTGGCATCTGGCCAGAACATCTCTATGTTGCCCCTGCTGCCCCAGCACACTCCCTCAATGTGTTGGGGCAAACAGGTGTGGGGCAAGACTGCAGAGTGACCTGGACCCAGGTACTATCCCTGGTAAGTAGAGACATGGAGGTGGGCGGGGGGGACTGTGTGGTTTCGGGGGGGGGTGTGGGGGGGTGTGTGCTGGGGCAGCTTGTGGGTGTGGGGTTCACATGCCATCAAAAAGGGGCCATCACATGCCTGCCCTCCCACCCCCTGTGGTGCACAGCCCCTGGCTCTGGCAGCAGCAGCCAGCCAGGCTATCCTTGGGTGTAGGCGCAGCCCCACGGGGTGCAGCACCATCTGACCTGGGGCCTGTACATGGAGAACAAGCCCAGCCTGACTTGGCCCGGCCTGACCTGCTAGCACATGGCTCAGGGCAGGCCAGGTTGGCCCGGGCCCATTCACAATGTACAGACCTGGGTCAGGCAGCACTGTGCCCTGCGGGGCTACCCCTACAACTGGGCATGGCCCACCTGACTGCTGCTGCTGCCAGCTCCAGGGGCTGTATGCTGCAGGAGTGGGGGGGATGGGCATCTGGCAGCTGCTCATCAAACCTTCACAAGAAACCCCACACCCATAAACCCCCCACAAACCCCATACAACCACCTATAAACCCTACAAACTCCACTCCCAGCCACACACCCCACATCCCCCTATACCCACACCCCCCCACACACAAACCCACCCAACAACCCCACACCCAACCCCCACAACCCTTCCCACCCCCCTCCTACAAACCCCTCCATCCCCCCATCTCAAACCTTGCATGCCCAGCTGCCAGACAGGATGGGACCTGCTGGCAGAAGCTGTAGCTTCAGGGGCAGCTGTTCCCACATCCTGATCAGGGGGAGCTCTGATTTTTCTATGATTAAAAAAAATCAAACACCAAAGTATATAGATATTTAGAATTTATATTATGATGATGATAGAGGCACTGGTAGTCTTCCAAATTGTTTTAAAATTGTAAATATATAAATAAGTAATTGCCTAACTGGTCTTTTAAATAGGGAACACCAGGATCTCTGCTGGTGGGATCCAGGTAGAGAAGCCTACTCAGGGCTGGAACCAGGAATCCAGCTGGAGAGCAAATGAGGTAGCTGACCTCCTGGCCATTTCATAGATTCATAGATGCTAGGGTTGGAAGGGACCTCAATGGATCATCAAGTCTGACTCCCTGCTAGTGGCAGTAAAAAGTGCTGGGGGTCATGTGACCCCAGCCAGGTGCTTGTCCAGTCTCCTGTTGAAGACCCCCAAGGTAAGGGAGAGCACCACCTCCCTTGGAAGCCCATTCTAGATTCTGGCAACCCTAACCATGAAGAAGTTATTTCTGCTGTCCAGCCTAAATCTACTTTCTATCAGGTTGTGGCCATTGTTTCTGGTTGTTCCAAGGGGGGGCTCCAGTAAACAGAGCATCTCTTATTCCCTGCTGCCCCCCCCCCCCC